TATAATTTATACACATATGTATCCAGTGTTAGAAATAGGATTGATTTTGACAGTTCATGGTATTGCTGGGCCTGTAGACCCACTGAAATGGAAGCTGTTCTTTCCAGGTCAGAGTAAGCTACGGTTGCTCATCACCTCCCAGGTCCATTGTCAGGAAGGACACATTTTTGTCATGGGCTGCTTTCTAGAGACAGAATAAAAATAGCACACCAATAAAAAGAGACAAATTGGGATGATATTTGTCAGTGAGGGATAACAGAGCTCTGAAGTGGTCATGACAGTGTGTTCTTCTGGTAGGAAAATTAGGATGACCTTCAGATGTTTGGATGACCAGATCTAATGGGGGTTTTTTTGGCTCTTAAACATCTATATAACTTGACATCTTCATGGATGTTTTGAGTCCTTGCTTTTCTTTGTTCTGCTTAATATGACACATCTATCTGTTTCTGATAAATAGCTACCATATTTATTTTTCTGTCTCTGTGGACTTCTAACCTAATACTAGCTGAAGGACAGATGTTGTAAAACATTCTATGTACTTATGCATCTCAGTATTTGTGATGCAGGGAATAGTTCAGTGTATTGGCTAACTGTTACGTCACTGGAAAGAAGTGAAGTTTTGCCAGGTGTTTTGTTACCTCTTTTCAATCAGGCAGGCAGTAAAACAAATGATTCTGTAATGGTAAAAGGTACCATTTGATTTAGCCTGAAATATTCAACAGCTTCACTTCCTCGCTAAGGATCCCTTACTCTAGGCTAACCAAACATAAGGGAAAAAGTGTCTTTTTCAAGCCAATTTCCACTCTAAAGCAGCAAGAGGTGGTGGTTGCCTGCTTTTAGCAACCAAACCCCTTCAAGAGCACTGGAAAAGATCATGCACCAGCAATTGCAGCTTTCCATTTAAGCAACTGGATATATCAGCTCTGACCCAGCTCCCAGAAGGAAGATTTCTTATTTTGTGTTTTCCTGGCTTGGTTAGGAGATTTCAAATCAGTGTCTGAGTCTTCTTTCAATCTGAGCTGTGTCCTGGAGAGCCTAGCAAGGTGTTGCTGCAGCCATGTGAGACTTCAAGGTGTGCATTCAGTTTCAACAGACAGGAACAGGCTCCATTAAGACCCCTCCGTTAAGAGGGGTCTTTTTTGGGGTAAATTTTCAGGGAAGGGATGCACCCCAATGATAGTGAGCAGTTTTTACCACATTGCTCGTCTCCTGTGGAAGTACAGGAATGCAGTGAGAATGCTGCTAGAAGTCCCTGATGTTTTAGGACTAATCTGTTAATTTATTCAGGAAGCAAAGGGAAGCTTTTCTTTGTGTAGCATTTTATGGGCTGCCTTATGACTGTTTCAGGCTGCCCTGGCTCAGTCTGCCTGCTTTTTGGTCCTTCCCCTGATGACTTTCTCTGGCTGTGAAACATGTGGAGACAACAAATTCCATCCTTGAGGTGTATTAGACTGGGGCTACATCCAAACTAGCACATTAAATATGCCCAGAAACATCCCTGGGTGTTGAAGCCAGCTGGCACAGAGCAGCTCATGTCTACCCTGGTAAGAGTTATGCAGAGTGGCTGGACAAAGCAGCTTGCTGGGGAAAGTCCCTAAGGTCCTAGCCAGGCCTGGTGACTGCTGGGGGCAGTGCTAGGTGGCACAGGCCAAAATCATGCCAGGAACGCGCTAATGGCTTGCTGTTATGGGTGGTCACGTTGCACCGCTTGGGAATATTCCAGGTTCTGCCAGGCTTCACTGGCATGAATGCAGTCTGAACGGTTAAACCCCTGCTCATTTATTCTGGGAGATAAGATCAGTTACTAGGCGTCTGGTTCCTTTGCACGAATGGTTTCTAAGCACAAGAGGGCAATATTGAGTTGTTGAAAGTGTCTCTAAGAGCAGGCGTGTGTTTTGCCTGGGATATTATTTCTTCCTCGAATTTCTTTCTATTTGTTCACAAGCATTTCATTCAGATGTTATGGTGCCATGTGATATTAAAAACCTGATATAAATATTCAAAGTCTAACACTATAATTTTAATGCAGGAACCACCCCAGTTTTCTGGTTTTCATATTAGTTTGCTAATGAGACGTATAACCTGCCATACTTAAATTTTATTTTTAGGTAGAAGACGAAGAAGAACCAGGTGGCTACATTCATCTGGAAAAATTTCTTCCTGTGATGACAAAAGTACTGCTCGACAGAAGGTAATGGAAAGTGGATTTTTCTGTGTCTGTAGTTTATTGCAGATTGACAGGGTTGATTCTGAATAAATATATCTACAGTAATTCTATGTTGCTGGAAAAAATGCAGATTATTTTTTCCTTGTTATTTAAACTCAGTTTACATTACCTTGATAGATTTTGTTTCAAAATTACTTTGTCTACATGAAATTATGTTGTACGGATGATATAAATAATACAAGCTTATAGTCGTGAATTGTGATAATGTGAATCAGAATTAACTTGCTATTCAACATGTTTTGTGCATCTCTGAAATGTTTTATATGCAAATTAAGGACATAACCATTACTTTCTCTGAACACGAGAGTTACAGTTACTGAAAAGCACAGTCTGTTACAGTGTATTTTTAATAAGTTGTGTAAATCAGCTTCATATTCATGTGTCAAAGTGACTGCCAGGTACAGTTAAATGTACACAAAATAGCACTCTGAAAGCCTAACGATTTGAAAATCTAGAACAAAAATGCTGTTCATTATTCAAAGGTTCATAGAAATCTTTGCATGTACACAGGAACTTGTGTTATTTCATTATTTTGCACTAAAAGCAAGATTACTCACGGGCAAGTTATCTTTCTTTTTAAAGATGGTAGCAAAGGGTTTTGGGAGACTCCATCTTGTCCAATGCTGAGAAGATCTTTGCACACAGAGGGCCTTTGGTAGGAGAGTGTTTTACACATGAAATATCTACAGGATTTCCCAAACTGTCTTGCAGCATTTGGAGGGAGTGGAGCCACCTTGGGGCTGTGTTTCAGAGTCTTTGCACCTGTGCCTGGGCAGAAACCAGCCAGCAGTCTTTGGTATCAGTGTGCCTTCCCAGGTTCCTGCACCTTTGCCTTCTCTGGCCTTCATGATAATTTCTGGCTCCACACTGACGTTCACCCTTTCATAAAATGATACCTTGCTGCTCTGAGCTCTCTTCCTCTCCTCTACACCCCGTCCACACAAACACACACAAAACCTCCCCATTGCACTTTCCCCAGGCTAGTGCAGGCTTGTCAAGACCCACTTTATCTTTTGGGGCCTCTTTGTCCATAGTTCACTTGTCCGAGGGCACATGAGATTTGGATCACAAAAAGCAAGGCCTCTTCTTAGAACATTTGAGTTTTAGATAGTAAACAACCAAGGCGGGTCTGGATGAAACAATCAAGCAGTTAGAACCTCTCTGGCTTCAACGTCTTCTCTTTAGTATTCTGGGGATTGGTGAGAGTCTGCTGGGCTATGGAAAGTCTGCACAGAGCTTCCTTTCCAGCTCTGAAATCAGGCACACATATGCACACACACACATGCCCAGTTCTCCTATCTCTCTGAAACTGTCAGTGACAGACCTTCCCTTTTATAGCCACAACCTTCCTTTGCACGTCATCAGCTCATTAGACTGTCAAAGTCCCACTGGGTGATCTGTTGCCTTAGCTACCAGCCTATGGGGACAAAACTTTGTTCCCTTGGTTTGGCATCTTCTGTTCAGTGCATTGGCTACGTGGAATGATTCAGCTGTTATTGATTCCTCCTGACCCC